CCCCGCCTCTAACCCTCTCGAACCGGCGGGGCCTCACACCGTGCAGGTACGAACCGGCGATGTTCGAAGGCTCCCCTCCGGCGGCTGCGTCTCGCCGGCAGCAACACCACCAAGAGCAGGAGCAGGAACAAGGCTCCTCCGCCACAGACGTGATCTGCCCCATGTACGCCCGCGTAGAAGAGTGCGTCCGGTTCCTCCAGGAAGACGACCGAAAGTTAGCGAAATCAGATGACAACGGCGGCGGCGGCGGCGGCGGCGGCGGGCGTCCGCTTATCCTTTGCGAGTACAGCCACGCCATGGGCAACAGCAACGGGAACCTCCACAAGTACTGGGAGCTGTTCCGCTCGAACCCCCGCTGCCAGGGGGGCTTCGTCTGGGACTGGGTGGACCAGGGGCTGAGCACAACCATCCCCGGTCCCCCCGGGGGGGCGGGGGAGGTGGAGACTTGGGGGTACGGGGGCGATTTCGGGGAGCCGGTGAATGATGGGAACTTCTGCGTGAACGGCGTGGTGTGGCCGGACCGCACGCCGCATCCGGCATTGGAAGAGGTAAGGAAGGCAGGCCGCTTGTGTCACCTTTGTTGCTGCTGCTGTTGCTGCTGGGGTTCAGCTGTTACTGGGGTTGGGCGTGTGCGTGCGCGTGTGTGTGTTGTTTTTTCGTGTACCAGGGTTTTCCTTCGTTGCACTGGGGGGTGCTGTTTGTTCGGCTGCCATCCGCTGCTGCTGGATGCTACTATGCTGCGTGTGAGTGCGTGTGCCCTGTTGGAGTTACAGTTAGGAGAGGAAAGGACTCTCGGTCCTGGGTAGGTTTGCAGGGCGTGCCGAATTGTGTCGTACCCCTTCTTCATCTAGAGCTTTTGGGTCACTCTTGGCGTTGTACCCGTCTATTGACTCTGCCCGTATCTTTTTCTCTCCGTCTCTCTCGGTCGCTTCCGGTCGCTGTCTGTCTGCCTCTGTCCTCTCTCTCATCTCGGTGTGTTGCGTCTCTCCGCTTCGTTCTCTCCCTCCTCGCTCTTCGCTTGCCGAACGTCTCCGCAACACGCCAGTTCAAGTACCTCATGCAACCCTTCCACGCCTCCATCCTCCCGAATGGGGTCACCACCACCACTCTCCGCCCCAGCGCCCCCTCCCCCACGACCGTCACCCTCTCCATCGCCAACCGGTACGACTTCACCGACAACCTGTGGGACATTCTCGTGTTCGGATGGCACGTGGAGGTAGACGGCGTGGTGATGGCGAGAGGAGACGACCTGTCGCCGTCCTCCCCTCCTCCCCCGAGCAGCGACGACAACGATCGGGAGCCAGGGGCGACGCAAAATCAGGGCGGGGGGGATGATGCATCGGGTTTTCCTGCGGCCGCGGGGGAAGGCGGCGGAGCCGGCGCTGGCAGAGTTACGGCCGCGACATTGATCTTCGAATCGCTACCGTCGTTGACGGAGGGCGTTGAGAAGGAGTGCTGGCTGACGGTGACGGGGCGGCTGCGGGTGGCGACGGCGTGGGCCCCAGCGGGGCACAAGGTCGGACACGTGCAGCTGGAGCTGCCGAGGAGCCCCGAAAGCAGCGCGGTGAGAAGGAGAGAGGTGACGGTTACAAGTTTTTCTTTTTTGTTTTTCGCCGGCGGCGGCGGCGGCGGCAGCGGCAGTGGCAGCGGCAGCGGAGGCGAAGCGTCTGGAGACCTCGAAAAGACACTCTTTCATCCGTGGGAAGAGATGGATATATTTTTTGTTATTTTGTAAGGAAGAAAAAGTCTTGTCGAAGTGTGATCACTCCACCTGTCTTGTTGCTTCTTTTGTTACACGTGCGCCTCCCCCAGCTTGGGTGAGGTGTTGAATGATGGGGAAACAAGTGCTGTGTTGTTGATCGGCATGCCGTACTGCTTCCGGGGTTTGTCGTAGACGTCTCCTCGAGAGATTTCGGAACGAGTAAGCGCATCGGATGACATCGGATGAATGTGTTTTCCTATCATCAGCTCCCCCGCAAGTGCTCACTCAATGGCCCCACGCTTGGCGGCGGTATCCTCTGTATGCCTTTTGCGATAGGCTTCCGCCTGTTTTTCTTTCTCTTTCTCCCTGCCCATCCCTCTCCCGCTTCTCTCTCTCGCTCGCTCTCACGTGTGTTCGACGCCGAGTACCCCTGTTCACCCTTTTTTCGTCTGCGGATTGGCGACCCAGGGAGCGGAGACAAGCGGAGCAGCAGCAGCAGCAGCGGCAGCAGCGGCCGTGACCGATGACAGCGCCGCTGCCGGATCGGAACCAGCGGTGGTGGTGGTTGAGGAGCACGCCGATGTCGACGGCGGCGGCGAAATATTGACCGTTTCAGTCCCGCCTCCGGACGGCGGTGGCGACAGCGGTGTTCGGGCTGTATTCGACATGCAAAGCGGCCGCCTGTCCCAGCTGCAGCTTCTGGGCGGCGACGAGGGCGATGCGGTTGATCTGTTGGAGGCCGTCGAGGGTGATGATGATGATGATGGGGTCGATGGCGAAGGCGAGGTTAGTTAAATGTTTTTCGATGATTCTTCGCCGTCTCTTTCTTGGTCCCCGCTTTCTCTCTCTTGTACTATATCACCGTCCTGCGGACACCTATCGAAGAACGCCTCTGCAGGAAACCTGCCGGGGGACCTGTTTCCTCACCTGCCCCCCCGACGCCCCAAAAAACTCAAGCACATCTCGGCGTTCAACCCATGCCTCCCAGCAATGCGCCACTCCTGTTGCCCACCGTGTCCAAAACGCCGCCAACGCCGCAACGACCTTCTCGTTGTCTCCCGGGACGCCAGCACTCGCGCCGAGCTCTGGGCCTCCAGTTCAACCGAGCGCCGACGGACAACGACCGCGGGGGCTACGTGGGGCGTTGGGACGTGGCAGGCCTGCTGGAACCGGCGCTGGGACCGTTCGGCGCCCGCTCCGGGTGGGAGAGGAGAGAGGCCGACGGTGCCGTCTTGGTCACAACGGAGTTCAAGCTGAGGCCGCGTGCGCCGAAGCCCAGGCTGTGCAAGCTCTTCTACAAGGTAATTGGCAGGCACCGATCAGCCTGAAACTTGCTGAGGGCGTCTCATGTAGTGTAGGACGGCCGATGGTCTGATTCCTCATGCCTCGGGCGTTCGGGTCAAAAAAGCGCGTGGTTCCGAGCTTCGGAGTGAACGGCGACAGACAGACAGACTCATTTTTTTACGGTTCTGTGAAGCCTCTGGAAACCGTAACGGTCTCGTAGAGGAACTTGCTGTGGAAATGTAGATGTGTACTATAGTTGCAAAACCAAGTCGTGAAGCATGCTTTTTTTTTTGCCGTGGTCGAAGGGACGGGCGGTAGAGGTAGTGGGGTTGGGCGGCGAAGCGGGAGTATGGAAGGGTTGTTTTCTTTCGCGTGCTTGTTGTCGTTGTGTGGACTCTATGTGTCCTATTCATGCGATACTAAATTGCCGCTGCCCCCCCGCCCCCCCCCTCAGCCCGTACGGCCGCGACCCCCCNCCGCCGGCAGCTCCGAGCGTTCCGAGACGAAGCCGAGGCGTGTTCTTCTTCCTCTTCCTCTTCCTCCTCCTCCTCCTTAACGACCCTCTCCCTGCAAAGCCTGCGGGACGACGAGGTCTCCTTCGTACGGGCCACGGCGGCGGCGTGGCGGCTAGGCCACGCCGCGGAGGATAACAGCGGCGGCGGCGGGAAGGGCGTCCGCGTGTGGCTGCCCCCCGTTCGGCTCAACTCTACGCACGACGTGGCCGCCGGCATGAGCGTGGCCCCTGAGACCGCGGTAGGGGATGCCGAGGGCGTTGGGGGAGGGGACGACGATGACGACGCGGATGGTGTTGAAGATTTCGATGCGGGCGAGTTCGAGTGCAGGGTCTGCTACGCTGTTCTGCCTTCCGGCGTGCTGACGGTGGAGAGTGATGTCTCTATGCCGGAACACTGGCCGGTCGTCCCGAGGTGCGTTGGCTGATGCCTAGAGTCGCGTTGACGGACTGCAGCGCGGTGGAAAGCGAGGGGGCGCGTGTGTGCGATGGTGGTGGCCAGGACCGTGTGTTGTCTCTTGGCTGAAACATGTTTAGGAGGGTCGGGAGAGGACCGATGATGGTCATCGTCAGTGCCGAGTGCGTTCTCCACGCGCACATGCGGTACCCTTGTCTCCTGGTCTCGACTTCTCACAATTCGTCGTGTGTGTTTGTGTGTCTGTAGTGTTGGCATCGACCGCGCTAACCGGCCGACCAATGAAAAAACTTCAGTCTCTACGTGTTTGTGTCAATTATTTTCGTTCGCAAAAAATATTCCCCCACACCTATGCGTGCGTGTGTGCTTATACGACAGGGTCGGCCTCCGCATCCTTCTCCCGGGAGACTTCTCCTCGATCCGGTGGTTCGGCCGCGGGCCGCACGAGAACTACCCGGACAGGAAGGCGTCTACCGTCGTGACCAGACACGCCTCCTCCGTCGCGGAGCAGCTGACGCCCTACATCAGGCCCGGGGAGTGCGGCGGCAAGGCGGACGTGCGCTGGCTGGAGGTGAGCCGTCCGGCTCAGAACCGGGCACCGGCGGCGGCGGGCATCGGCGGGGTTAGCAACGCAGCTGCCGCCACCGCGCCAGCTTCCTCCTACGCCTTCGGTGAGCCTGCTATCCTCTTCGCTGTTCCTGCGGCCACCGCCACGGAGAGCGGCGAAGAAGGCGATGCAGACGCCAGCGAGCAGCAGCACCAGCAGCAGCACCAGCAGCACCAGCAGCAAGCGGACTCGTCGCCGTCCCTGTTCTCCTTCAGCGCACTGCCCCACCTAGCGGAAGACCTTGCGGGGGCCATGCACCCCGAGCAGCTCCCCCCGCGGCCCGTCACGGCTGTCAGCCTGGACCACCGGATCATGGGGGTCGGCGGCGACGACTCGTGGAGCGCCTGCGTCCACGACGAGTATCTGGTGAGGCCGGGGCGGTTCAGGTTTTCGTTCGCGCTGGCCCCGTTCTGGCGCCGCCGCCGCCGCGTAGCCGACAACGGGGGCTGTGAGAACGACGGCGGCGAGCAGGCAAGCGAGCTTTGGCGAGCTTTGAGGCAGGGGAAGGAGCTTTGAAAGCTCGAAACACTAGGCTTGGAGGTGCAAGCAAGCGGATCGCTTGGACAACTAAATCCCTCCGTCCCCTCGCCCCCTAGAGAGCGCGTGAGGGGTGAGTGGAAGGAGGCGAATGAACGGTGGGATTATTCGAGCCTTCGGGTGAAGGGAGTGGAGTGGCGGGGGGGTTATGACGCAGAATTGCGGTCTGTGCATCGGGAGGGACGGGAAAACACCCTTTCGACAGGTGAAATCTAAGGATGTCTAGAGAGTACACGCTTTACACGCTTTGAGAGCCACTGTAGGGAGTAGGCGCACAATCTCATCCGGGTTACAAGTCGACGGGGGCGTAGTCGAAACCAAGCGCGTTTGAAACGTATCCCCAAGCGCTGAATCTTGTTGTCCGTAAGCCTTGCGAAAACAACCAAACGCGATGCACCCACGTGGTCATGGGTAAAATTTTCACCTAGAAAACGCCTTGACTACGTTTCAACCGTACCCGCCAAGGGAACCCACGTTTGCGCACCCATCACAGGGGCTGCAAGAAATTGTCGCGCAAACAACAAACATCACTGTCATCGTGTCCGCGTCTTCCACGGGGAAACGTTCACGAGGTTGGTGTTGGTCTCTACCCAATCCGTGAGCTCCGAGCGTCTCTTGAGGCCGAGGCTGGCGGCGGCCTTTCTTCTACCGCCGCCGAGGATCGGTTTGTGACGCCTCCGTCTTGTAGGAGGTGGGAACCTTCCTCCTCCTGTCGCTACGCCTTTGCCGAAGCATCGCCCGGCGGCAGCGGCCGCTACCCTCGCCCCGAACCTCGCGACGCCGACGGCCTCTGTCGGGCGAGTTGTCGGCGATGGCGATCGGGAGATGACCTCCGTCATCGCGCTCATCATGTCTTCCCCCTCTCTGTGCAGGTCCTCCGCGATGGCGACGATGTCGTCGACGGCAGTGGCCTCGCTGCCACTAGCGAAGGGAAGGCTGCTGCTGCCACCGTCGACGGCGGTGGCGGCGTCAAGCGACGACGGGGACGTGAGCCTCCCTGCCCTTCTTGGTCGCCTCCCGTTGTCGTGGTGACGACCGCCGCTGCAGCTGGCGGTGTTCTTGATGGTGTATTGTCGCCCCTCGGTGGTGTCTGTCGCCCCTCTCCCGGCATCTCCGGAAACCGCTGGGCGCAACCTCATTCCGGCCGTGCTGTGTTGTTCTCCCGCCCCGCACTCCTTCCAGAACCGCACAGCGGTGATCTATCGAAGGAGCCGGTCGTATAGCAAGATCGAAATGTACAATCAGGCGCGCTTGCATGTTGACGGCGGTTATGAGGCGCTTGTGTCAGTCGAATGTGGCAAGTAAGGCCCGTGTCCATGCATCGCTTGATCTAACATCAGAGAACTGGCTGCTGATAGGGGCGCTCGTCGATCTTAGGTGGTGGGTGCATTCGATTCGAAGGATGCTACGGTAGTGGATAAAGCGAGCGGTGATTCGGGGGAGGGGGGCGTGAATGCAACATATGCATGCACGCGGCGGAAGCGGGCGGGCAACGAAAACACATCTCATGACTACAACCGTGTGCGAAGCTGCTGGCCCTTGCGTGCAACTGCCGGTTCGGTGACTCCGCCTGCACCTCTACAGGGAGTCTGGCAGCTTCAAGGACGAAGAAAAACTGTCTAAGCTATCATCGATGGCTGTTGCCTTATTGGCTGTCCGCTTGGCCTGTGCGCATATTTCGGCCGTTGTTTTGCCCCTAACGGAGAAGACGGGGGTTCGGGGTGGCGGCTCTTCGTACCTGTGGACTACTGTGTAGTACTCGGAGGGCGATGATACAACTACATACAGTTCACAGATTCTCTACAGTAGACGATGCTTTCTTACGAAATTAGACTACTATCTACGGTGAACCACACATACCCGGGACACGGTCGTTTCAGACTCGTCCCGCTTGCACCAAGGAGGTGGGCGCGGTTGTAAGCGAACTCTCGGCCTCCTCGGCGTTGTGCACACGGCCTTGTTGTTGCGGGCCCTGGATGTGTCGATTTTTTCGACGGGTGCGCGGAAGAGGTTGGTGCGAGCGCGTTGGTGCCGGCCGGCACAAGCAGAAACCTGCTGTACCCTGACTTTGGAGAACACTACGGGACCACTGAACGTTAGTTGGACGTGCTTGCCGACGGCACTCTCAACTAATTCTCCAGGTGTCGACTCTGGACATTGCTGCGTACAGGGTGCACCCAACAACGCAACGTTTGACGGCACACCATAATGTCTACCGGCTCGCTAGGCGGGGTACTACTTGTCGCACGCAACAGTAGAATACGAGTGTGCTGCTCTACGATCGGAATCCCTGTCGGCCCTCCTCGGCAACTTCGTGCGAAGGAATCACCCCGTGGCCACGAAGTAAATTTAATAAGGGGAGGCCGCATCGCTCACAGAGAGGCAAGTTGGCAGACAAATGAAGGACAACCAACATCATCATCACCACCAACATGACCGACCATCGTGCTTCCCGCTTCTGATATCTACCTTCGGCCGTTGGTACAGGGGGTGTCGTCAGGCTGTCGATCTTGCCAGCTCCGTTTTGGTCGATTAGCCTTCCAAACAGCCTCGTCCACTTGTCCGCTGCAGGTGGTCTCGTCGCCGCCCACCCGCACGCGCCTCAGCCCTCTGCCTTGGTTGTCCCGGGCGGTGATCGAGCTGCAATTGCTCCCCGTGGGGTTACCTCGGCGCGCGTTGCTTTTCTCGAGGTGCTGGTTGGTTCGGGACCACGGCAAAAGGCGGCGGGTTCGAGACGACGGAGAGCGAGCAAGATCGTCGACGAGACTCTTCGAGGACCTTGCGAGGAAGGAGACATGGACAAGACAAAACGTTTTCTGTGTTTTTGACGCGGGAGAGCCTCGAGGATTCGGTCCGGACATGGTGGTCTAACTCTGGGTTGAAACAACTAGGGGTCAGCCTTGATGGAAAAGAAAGTCACACGTTTGGCTGTCGGAGTGCAGATTGCCTTCGGAAAGGGTACCAGTACATTCTCGTGAACGACTGTCTACGACGATTTCCTCCGGTCGCAACAACGTCTGGCGCGAGTGTTGCTACAAGGCGGGGACGCCAAGATATTTGGACCGTTCAACCCTCACCTTGCGCATGGCTTCGATTACCCCTAAGTGCCGCTTCGCTCGGGCCACTTCCGATCGCCTGTGCACGTAGCTGTCCAGCCTGTCCCACACGTCGCCGCTGCTGATCTCGGCGCCGCTGCCGTACGTTATGAGTTCTGGGATTTCGTCGCCTTCCTCCCCTTCCCCGTCACCACCACCGTCACCACCAACACGAACTCCGCTGCTGCCCGATTCAGTTCTACCACATTCGTGGTGGCCGCGAACGGCCCTTCCGCCGAAGATGACAAGGCCGCTCTTTTCGCCAATGCTTGCACCATTCCTGTACATCGGGCACTCACTATTACTATTCCCACCGTTCTCCAACGGCAGCTCGAGACCCGCTCCGCTAGCGCTGCCTGTGGCTGCGGCTTCTTGTGCGACACCGCCATTGGCCGCAGCGGCAGCGATACAGCCGCTGGCCGCGCCTTCGCTGTTCCACCCTCCTATTTCCTCCTGACCCTCCTCCTGCTCTTGCGGTGTCCGCGGCGGCACCAGCAGCATCGATACTTTGCTGACGCTTCGACCGGTTCCCGGACCGTTCCCCGGACCGGCCCCCGGCAACGTCTCTCCGTGCGTACCGTCACGGCCGTCCCCTTCGCCGCATTGGCGTACAAAGTTCTTTCCGCGACCCTGCGTAGCGGGTTGCCGCGGGCTGTTCCACGGCTTCTTGGGAGGGCGGGGCGACGCGCTGGAGTTAGAGGGGGAGTAGGGTCTCCCGGACGTCGGCGCCAGCGCCAAGGTTAGCTGTGCCTGAAGGTTGTTTATGACCGCCTCGGCTCGCTTTCTCCTCCTGTGCTTGTTGGGTTGCCAGGATGTTGGTTAGTGTTTCTTGTTGTCGGGGTCGTGGTCGTGCATGGTCGTTCATTTCGGGGCTTGGGAGACGGGTGAAAAAGTGTTGTTCTCTAGGCAGGAGATATTCGTCAGCCGTGTCTCAAGAAGCCTAAGCAGCACCTTGATCGATTCGAAGCTAAAACACAAACACGGGACACTTGAACCGTTGTCAACCTCTTTTTTGTGAACCATCGAACGGGCCGTAGACTGCTGGGTCGTGAATCCCCAATTGTAACGTAACAGGCGGCATGAGGCTGTGCAAAGCGCACGCCGTATGGGGAGACCTGTTTTCTCACACCTCATGCGCCCACTCCGCAAACACCGGTGGTGAGCGACCGGAACCGAGCAAAGGAAGCCCGGGCAACGCTTAAACTAGACTTGTATTTCGTTTGCCTCCCGCTACTGCTTTTTTGCTGCTTCAGGCGTTTGAAGGCTAGTGCCCCGTACCTTATCGTTGTTTGATGCATGCGGCGCTCGTCGGCTAGCTCCACTCGGGCCGTACGCTGGTCGCTTTCAATCTGGGCCGCCTTTCTCATGATCCGGTTGATCTGCGAGAAAAACGTGCGCGGGCCGCATGTTCGTGGAGGGGACAAAGTTGGGGCGGGTGGGGGGGGGGGGG